TCGGAACTCACTCGTTCTATTGTGCCTTACGGGCTCTATCAGACCTAAACAACAGCCGCACAGCAAGACATGAGGCGTTGGACTTTTAATTAACAGGTCGCGAGTTAGAGCCCCAGGTGTTCCACACTTCAGGGTTAGTTATGACCGGCTGACGACGGCCAATAAGCCAGAAATGACCATTCCAGTCTCCCTTGTCTTTGTCGGTAATGCCACTCTGCGTATATCATGCGCCGCTGTGCGGCTGCTGTTTGGGCTCGAGAGAGAGCCCATAAGGCACAACGGAACGCGTGAGTTCCGTAATAACGATCGGTGAGCGCCCCCTACCATTGTGTGTGTATATATATGTGAGAAGAAGAGGTGATCTCGGGAACCATAGGTTTAATTGCCTGACGTTTCAAAAGCAAACAATCTTCCATCGTCGGAGGTGGGTTCTGTACGGCGTTTCACAGTATTTATGGGTGCTGAGCATGTGGGAGTGTGCAGTTCCTGTGAGGCGAACTACGTTGGAGAGACCGGAAAACGTCTACAAACCCGCATGAGTGAGCACGCAAAGGCATTGAGAAGGATGGACCAACTGTCACTGGTGGCGGAACATTGTGCAGCCTCTGGGCATACTTTCGCCTTCCAGAACGCCGAAATCCTAGGCCGAGGTACTGACCAGACAGCTAGGGAAACGCTCGAAGCCTGGCACACCGTACCAACCTCCATCAACCGCTGCACGATTCTCCTGGCGGCTTACCAGGCGAGTGCGGTTCAACCAACAGAATCAAAGGCAGGAAGTCAGCATCACAAGCCCAGGTGAACACAGTTCGCAGGCCGATAAAGGAGAAACAGGCAACGAGCCAGCAGCCACCGAGGTGCCCACGGCAGAGGCAAACGGGCGACAATTACGAGAAACGCGGGTCAGGCACAACAAATGCGGGCAATGCAGACGAGGTCTATGACCGTTGCCATCCCGACACAGCCCGCCCGACGAGGAGACAGAGGAAGGGACCGACCAGCACGACAGCAATTAACTCCTTTTCCCGCAGCAGATCCTGCACGAATAGCAGTAGGAACGACAACACTCCCGCATGCTCAGCACCCATAAATACTGTGAGGCGCCGTACAGAATCCACCTCCAACGATGGAAGCTTGTTTGCTTTTGAAACGTCAGGCAATTAAACCTATGGTTCCCGAGATCGCCTCTTCTTCTCATTTATCTCCGGGACGCGCATTTTCGCTTTAATTGGTATATATGTATCTTTTTAAAAGGTGTTTAAATCATAGCTAGATTGTCCAGATGAGCCCTACCATAGTGCAGCACTAAGTCAGGGGATTTTCTCCGATTAAAAAGGAAAGGAGAAAAGCACGGTGTATGGTTTAGGCTCGTAAGCCCATCTCTGCATATGACCTTAGAGAGCAGGATACAACTTTGGACAAAGAGACCCACTCAAAACGCCTAGTGTGCAGGGATACCCTGACGAAGCCTGGGCTTATGTCTGTGATTTATTACAATCAATCCAGAAGGACCACATGTAGAGGTAGTGTTAGATGTCTAGCCGGGCCTTCAATGCTTGTCGTGGAGGAGTTTTCCTTCACTCCACTAATATAAGTTTGATAATAATGGCCTTTCTGAAAGACTTTCGAAGTCGTCTTACTTCCCTCCTTGAAGTACTTAACCAGAAATCTTGGAACACAAGCTATAACGTTCACTCTTCCTATTCTTACCCGTTGGCAGATGGTATTTCGCGCTGCGACAATGACGGTTGTAGGGGGGGCTGGGGCGATGTGCCAAAGTCCACATCGGACCCCTTGTTTGAAGATGACGACCAGATCCCAAGGAGATGCGAAACGCGTAGCGGCTGACCCGTTGTTCCAACGCCGGGCTTCTGGCAACCCCTTCTTGCGAACATGGCCTGGCGCCTGCACACACTAGTCGTCGCGTGGTTGCCGCTATCCATCAGACCCACAGGGAAGACTGTCTGCTGAGCTGCACTGCGACCCGGAAGCTTGTCTGGATCGCCAAAGGTCCGTGCTAGGCTGAGAGAGCGCCGTGGTAGCAGGGTGTCTTGGCGTGCGACCCTGTTATTACTGAAGACATACCGTCCTCTGCGACAGTCTGTCAGACCGCCGCGATCTCGTGTACAGGAAGAATTTGTATTGGTTTGGTTCACTATTTTGGCCTCAAATGTTTGCTGGTCATTTGTACGAAAGGAGAGGGATAAAAAGGATGAAAGAAGTTAGAATATCCACACAAGGCTAACGTTTTGAAAAAGAGATTATTCAAAAAGGAGATCTTGTTCAGCCCCGAAAAGGCCAAAGCTTTTCTTGTTTTGAAAAAGGATCCGCTCCCGCTACCTGTTCGCTTGAGTAGCGCAGTTTCGGGAACCCCTATAGTTCCCCGGAAACTTCAGGCCTTAGGTGCGTATTTGTCATTTTACGGTGTATCTGAAGCTGACAAGATTTGCCAAGAAAAGTGCTGTCTCGGCTGTTATACGTCATCTTCTACCGGAAGCGCCCGAAGACACTTCTGAAGGCTATAATGACCATCCCAATCATCAAATCAAGTACTGGCTAGTAGGAGAAGACGAAAGACACCAACAAGGGGCGTGTATTCTGTACAGATGACCGATGGCGGTCATAGCCCTCGACGAGCCGCCAGCTTTGGGCCTGCGCGCGTTTGGCTGCAAACGTGCCTCGCGTGTCAACACAGGCGAAAAGGAGAATTCTAATAAGTGAATGAAGAGAAGACTGGACCGATGGAACAAACCTTTTATTGGCCTAACGTCACAGAGTCATACCGGAATCCCCCATCAGCAATAGCAACAGATAAGGATAGTAGGCTGACAAGGCTCTTAGGATTTATAGGTCTCAGTCGCTACGCCACCACACACCTATCATAATTAGTCGCCCCAGCATTCGTTGCAGACGGTCATACTGGATACGATGGCTTGGTGATCCGCGTCGAAGTTCCTAACTGCTGCGGTTTCATGGGCTATATGCGTTCCACTGGGCTCACCAAAGTCTCACTTGTGCCTCGAATAACCTCAAAAAATGTTATTGACGGCAGTCCTCTTTTCTTCCATTAGTGTCAAGGGACGATTCAAAACGTGGATGGATTACAGTGATTCAGAGGGGAGTGTGTTAAACGGCTAAGAATGATTCTGTTAAAATATTTTTATTTCCTTGCAAATTGCTTCCCCATAATTTCGGACATCAGAATGACCAATAATATTGTTTATCGTAGAACCATCTAAACACGATTTTCGTGTATCTTCGCATGCCAATTCCATTGGAAAGTCAAACCCATTAGGAGTGGTTGCTGTCGTCAGCCTGCAAAGCATAAAACCTATTTGGCACTTCCTACCACAAATCACACCCGCAACTCCGAAATGTCCTTGAATTTCGTAGAGAAACGGGGATGTATGGTAGTTTAGGAGACAAGGGTTTCTTTTTATGGTAAGTTATAAAAAGCAGACCTACAGAGGTGGAAAGAATGTTTAAAAGACGTCAGTAGGACAGACTCACCTTACTGGATTGGACGCCATCGTTAATTACGCCATAGGGGTCTTTTATGTAGGCGTGGTAATGACCACCGCATGCGGTGTTCCCAACGTGAATGACCACGGAGAACAACTCGTACAACACTTCCTAGAATGCAATTGAAACTTCTAACCATGTACACAATCACCAAGTGTAAATTGCATTTGCCTCTGCGACTGGCAAAATAATACGTCCATTGCTTTTACACTGCCACAAACATATCGTTGCGACCAACACAGGTTGTGATTCTGCTTCACTACTACTACTACTACTACTACTACTACTACTACTACTACTACTACTACTACTACTACTATTACTATTACTACTACTACTACTACTACTACTACTACTACTACCACCGCTACTACTATTGATGTTAACAATGCCAAATAAATTAACATGAACAACTTGCTATCAATGCAACTTATACAAATAATACCGGCAACACGGTCCCTTTTAATGTCTGTATAATTAGTTCTTGGAGCGTCTACACTATCCAAAGTACTATTATTACCCTTTATAATATTTTTTCAACGGTTTAGTCATAAGACTAAGTATAACATACATACTACTGTAGCAATTACTTGTTAATAATGGTTGCATCAAACTTGCCAAGTTACACCATCACCCACAGTAAAACCACTTTGCTGCCAATACATGTACTCTGCCTGATAATAATGCTATGTGTGGCACCATTCCGATTAAAGCTGGCACTGAGATTTATTTGTTCAGAAAATGAACAAAAAACTGGACGATAAGAGCTATGGTTAATTGCCGGAAATGTTTTCCTGTGTCGAAACACACCTGGTATTTGAAAACATACCGTGATCTAATTAACAAGCAAATACCTTTGAATAATTCTCCGCGACGAAATCAGCCATATCAAGCTGCAGTGGAAAGCTGCAGAGTTTGTCGAGTTTACGCGCCTCCATCAATTTAGAGTCGAAGTAGAAACGTGAGAGCGAGAGAGTCAAAATTGGCGGCAGGTCCGTAAACCGACTGAACTAGTGGCAAAAGCAGGAAATAACCCACCAAATGTCCAACTTCCGCAGGATCTTCAATAACCCTAGTAAAATTTACCGGCTAACATTCCTATCAAGTCTTAAATTTCAGAAAAATAACTGTGCAGTCGCAGTGTGATCACAGGCGATGGGTGGAAGGTGTAAAAAGTAAACCATAGGAACCGCAGCATGGCAAATAACGCCTTATTGTGGGCAAATGCATTTACACAGTCAAATTATTCGGCTGCCTGATAAGACGCGAAATTTCGAAGGCAGAGGGTAGTGGTTGAAACCTTAACAGAGTCCAGGGTTTAGGATTTACGTGAGAGGGTGAGAGGGGAGCGAAGGTCAGGTGCTACGATCGATTTCACGGAAGTCGAGATGGCATGCAAAAGACTGTGTTAACAAATTAGATTTCCGGCGAGACTTTGGTCAGTTTACACTGCATCGCTGGCTTTAAGTGGCCATTCGATATCCGAATAAGAGATAACCACCTGGAAATTTCATAAAGAATGTCGAAGTCAGTAATTCAGTATCGTTTATGGGTGTGCAATGGAGGAAATAAAGCATACACCGAGCAGTATGCTAAATTTCAGCAAGATGTCCCTAAGTCAAAGACATAATTTTATCCATTCTTAGTATACCGGGGCAATGCGGGTCTGTTCTTTGTTTTCTCTAAAGTGCTGTGTAACAGTTTATATCTATAGTGGTACATAAAAAGAGAGCTGTTGATGGCCTGCGTAGACCCGGGATGCAAACGATTGAGGAAGATTTACCTCTTCGGTAGGGATAGCTTGTGCAACCCCGTTTAATATGTATAATTAACTACTGTATTTGTCTTATTAGCCTTGTTTGGTTCTTTAACTCACAGCCAGAGGAAGTTGCCCTTTGAGTTTTGCCTAGCCCGCTGATCTATCCACGTAAACCGAGTCATTCCAGCATGATACTTTTTAAATGATACATTATCTGACATGAGGCAGCCTTCCCTACAGCCCGTTTCGGGGGGCTATGCATTCTTGTGTCGTGGCAATACGCACCATATAACACGCGCTGTAAGGATTGGCGGCTACGCTTTGGCTTACTTTGCCTCAGTTAGAGCCCAACCGCTCAGCATCCACGACATCTCCAAACGATGTCTAGTGTCGGGGTTTGTACGCTATAAATTACTTACTTCTTCGAAATGACTAGGTTAACCTCCTTGTGTCATGTCGGTATTCACTATACAACGTCTGCTGCAAGGGTCGTTGACTGCGTTTTGGGTTTACTTTGACTCGGTGAGAACGTAAACACCCAACTTCCATGATATATCCGAATGGTTTCTGTTGTAAAATGCGTACGCCAAGCTTACATACTTTTTCATGTGTACTTGTGTGTTGTCCCTCTGATAACTTGTAATAAGGTAGTTAAATTCCGTCGAGTGTACTTACAAAAATTCACCTACAAATTATCGTCAAATTAAATTCAAGGAGGCATTCAGGATCCCTATTCGGGAAGCTGTTGCACCGGATATGCATCCGCGCGCTTGCTTCAAACCATCGCTCTCTAGCCCAACCCACAGACGATATTGAATCCCGTCTCAGTGGGCCCATATTATTTGGCCCGACACCGGGCCCCTCAGAGCTTTCCTCCTTCGATATTGCCCGCGCCGGAATACATATCTGTCGGTAAGCAGCCCAACGAATTGGTATTTTGCTACGCTAGATAGCAGTGCCCTTCTCTGGCAGTATCCCACCACCTCCTCAAAGTTCATAGCTTCGGTTATTTCATCCCTTGATCAGACAATCAAGTTGCGATTGTCCGACTTTTCTGCGTTCTGGAACTGATGTTCCGCATTTTAGAAGGAATTAAACAACCATTATTACCTATTCTATTCATAAATGCGTTTCGATGTCGTACATGTCTCAGCTCTTATTTGGAGAAGACACCTTACTGACACCCGGTAAGCGGTCAACCTGGACATGTATTCTTACTCTCACAGACTGTTCCTTTAGTGGTTCAAGGCCTGCTAACCAGGCGCTAGTGACATATATCAGTCATAATGCTTAACAATTGCCGCCTCTGTCACCTCCATAGAAACACTAAATCTTGACTTCATTACCCGCCCAACTACTATTCTTCTGCGACCTTTCCTCTTTTATGAAAATACTATGGGGTGGATTGAGAAGAGGGCATTTCTCTGCATCAAGCTCGTATACTCAGTCAGTTGTTAGTGTCTTGATTAGCTGCAACAGTAGCTTAGCGGGTCAAAACGGAAACGTGCAACAACACTCTGGAGATAACAGCAGCGCAACCGACAGTCCAATCGTCGTTGCCGACGATTTCTACCGTGTGTCCCACAGCAGGGTGAGAGCAGGGACAGTGACTTGCCTGTGAATTAGTTCACAATTGTAGTAGATTTACGAAGCATCTACCGAACTACCTCCTCTTCCCCCCCACCCCCCACCCCACCCCCACCTGGATCCGGTGTCCAGACAGAGTCAAGAAGACCGGAGGTGGGAGATGACGCAGGTGGATGCCACGGCAAAAACCCGCGCCTAGACGTGCCACCACACTCCTCGGTCCACAACGGACACCGACCAGGATTTTGTACCACAACAAAAATAAGCAGGTGGCACGGACTCCAAGTGGAGCGGTGTTAGCCTGTACAGGAGCGTGTCACCACCACCCAATGCTAGCATTTGTTATGGTTGCGCATCCCGGATAACACCCGCTGGACTCAGATCTGGCCTCCGTGTTGTCCAGCAGATCAATCGCGTGACTCGTTTTAGAGGCAAAACAGAGCAACCAGAGGCCTGGTGACCACATTTTGTTCCAACAGGATGGGACTGCTCCAACTTATGGTCGTGGAGTACGTTGTTAACTAAACGAGGTCTTCAACGACCTATGGATTGGCAGAGAAGGGCACATGCGGTAACCGCCTTGGTCTCGTAGTCTCACCCCACTTGATTTCCTCGGATAGACATGAGTATAAGCATCCACCATCTACGACAGGTGGCTTTACGCCAAATTTCAGGGCGCTATCCATTCCCGCGTCCTAACTTTAGCCCTAGCCCTGACGCTAACGCTACCCCCCCCCCTCCTGAAATTTAGCGTGAAACCACCTGTAATAAAAGTCATGGGAGACATTCTGAAGATCAGTTAAAGTAGACTTTTAATGAGTACTTTGAAGTGTAAATTCCACATTCCGTAGTTTGAGGGATGCGTTTGCGGCTGCCTAATATTCTGGCCAGAATAGAGACTGTCTAAATAATTTCTGATGACAGAAATACCTGGGGTCAGGGTGTTTCCACTGACATTGAAATCGTCTACCTTTTAGGTGTACTACAGCCTGGAAGTCAGCAGTGTGTTGTGTGGAAGTATATGCTTGGGTTACTCTCACAGCAGAGCCCTACAGTACTGCACTGAAGACCTGGCCGTAGGACTCTGTGTTTGAGACTTTACGCGTTACCCAGTACAACATGCACGTCGCGGGACAAAAGTATGTTTTATGGCCGGGGTTACTTACTGTAGGGAGTGTTCGTATTGAGCGAATGAGCATCACAAATTTTTATCCTTCTTATTGTCACCAATTAAAAGCGGACGCTATTTTCATCATTTACTGATAGTAGTAGATAAATGTAATGTCCTTTTGAGGCATTGTCAAAAAGGTATTCCATTGTTGTCCTTTTTACCCCAATGACTACCTTGAAGCATTTCGACGACCCTTTCGCAACAGCCACCGTGAGGTCTTTTTATTTCCTTCTCTGGCACGTACAAATAAATAACACTACTTATTTTCTTTTGGCATAATTGCTTCGCGGAGTAAGTAACCCCGAGCATAAACCATACACTTGTCCCTCGCGGTTTCGAAATGTTCATATTTTCCATAAAAATTAGTGCCGAGTTGATTGCCTTACGCTTCTTACGCTTTCAGTAATAACGCTTAGTCGACCGACAGGTTACGTTAACTTTGTCGTGCCACTGCGTCTGGCCTCTACGTCATTGTCGTCTGTGCATCCTGTTCTGTTTCGGTCGGTTAAACTACTTACTGCCGACACTAAAGTGCATGCGTTTGGTTGTAGAGGTTGTTCCCTTATCGATCTGTTGTTACGAGAGCATTCAAGTTAACCCGGCTAATGGACGGGTCCGTGCCTGTACGTCAACTTGTTTCATGGTTTCAAGGAATGCCTTCGCAGACCTAAGACCTCTTGTGGTTAATTTATAAGTACCAGACACAGCTTTGTTCCCTAAAAGACACGATTGCCAGCCTCTACCGCAAAAGCGCAGAAAAAGGCTGCAAGCATTTTTATGGGATGAAAATATGCATTTCTAAGGTACCTAGCTCTTTCAGATGTATTTCAGCTTTTATGGAGTCAGATTTACTTCAACTATCCAATGTCGGTGTTCAAGGAAAGAACTGAACTGATTCAATAGAGAAAATCGTTCGAATTTTCAAACTTCAGTAGCTATTTAGAATCATAGGGTGACAACTAGTCAAAAAATAAGTTCCAGATATTATTACGATCGAGAGAGACAGAGAGAACTACGAGAATTTTTTCAAGTACATTTATATAGGAATACCTATTCTTATCCAGAATGCTGTGGGTTTTAAGCAAAAAAGTGACTGAACATAGTTTAGCCAGAGGCGTGAGGATCAGTTGGATCTTTGAGGCAGAAATAGCACCGAATAAAATGACCGAGACTCTGCACTTATTGAGTTCTCATCACCCAAAGCAAATGAGAGCTTTGTGTACATACTAATGCAAAGTAGGTGTTAAAACTCACCTTTGATGCGTCGACTCTGCACTGACACCTCTCGCAGAAGTATTGGTTATCACCACACAATCTCTCCGTCTGTGTGTGCGCTCTTAATGAATCTTCTACCGAGTCCCAGTCGCTCACTGACAGATTCACGTCCAGAAAGTCATCCTGTTTGAAAGTCAAGTTTGTGCGTTAGTGAAACAGGGCCTGAGGCTAACCCACCTACATTTCGTTCACTGACGCGACCGCAGACCAGACACTTGACCTAAAGAAAAGTGAAAGTTATGATAATCCAAAGGTAAACGATTATAAACTCTGGTCCGCAAAACTCCATGATAGAGATCGTTGATGAGGTTCTCTTGACCGGTGTTTTTGAGAGCTATTTCTATTTGTTCAAACAGCAGACGGTTCAATTCCTGAACGTCTTGGTGTACAAAAACCTGTGTGTTTTAGAGAAACGTGAAAATTTGTAAAACGTACTTCTTCACCATTCCAACCGAAGCTGTCAGTTAAAGGTTTGGAAGATACCGGTTCCCCATTTCCAGAGTGAAGTCGAGAGAAGAGAATCAGCAGCTCCTGAAGAATCTAGGCAAAAGAGACGGTCAGTCATCCCGAGAGTTACGCGTTTGAGCTTGGAAACCGAAACCTTTCGGGCCATTGCAAAAAGACGATCTGTCATCGAAAAGAAAGGAAAAGGAACTTACTTTCCCTCATTTTAAAATTAGATACGAAGGGTTTTTAAAAAGCTTACCAAAAGGCAGACCTCTGAACTACTAGAAGTATCCAAACTGACAAGGCTAGAAAAATTTATCCCGAGTGGTGTTAGATACTACGGCCGTTGTATACACGGCATGGAAAGGCACCTTCAGCATTGAGTTAATTGGGGGCGCCTGGAAAACAGAGTTTGGTGGTTACCAATTTGTTTCCAGCACAATACAGTCTTCGATAATCTTATTTACTGAGTGGTTGGTCACCAGAAATATAATCGCTCAGGCGTGCTCTGGCATTATGTTGGATATCGCATATCCCATCTACTAATCAAAAAGTGTCGATCATTTGATCTCTTTTTGACAGACTGTCACTCGCCGTCATCCTGTGTTTCTTAAGAAGTTAGAAAATAAATGCAGGAAAGCGATTATGCGCTGAGAACGATTTATAATTTTGGAAGTCTAGTTATCGAGATTTCGATAAATTCTCGCCAGGCCAGTGGGGACGGGCTATGGGGACGGGGTTAAGTTACCCCAAACTATTGGGCTAGCGTCTGTTAGCAACAGCAGAAGAGGCCTCTTTCAGAGTACGAAGGCTGGTTTTGTGTGGTAGAATCTTAGTCAAAGGCCGACCCATTATTTGCAACTCTCCATGCCTTTCCGCTCTGATCCCGTCTCTGGCAGTGACTCTTATCACCTCTCCCCGTACGCTTTCTCGCACGCCGCCTGTGTTTTAAGACGAACATCAGTCGATTTCTCTAATCGCTGACATGTTTTACCTGACCCCATTCCAATGTAGATGTACTGGCCTGTCGAGAATCTATCGAAAGCAAACGTAGGCTCACCAACTAGTCATCTGCATACTGCCATAGGGGTTATGATTTGCCATCGTAATCACAAGGGTTTTTTCCGAATATTCTTGATGTGAACTCTTAGGATTAACTAGCTGACTTTTCTCTGCCCAGTTGCCGAGTATGATAGAAATTTTGATTGTGCGACCGCGCATGAGGGTGCTAGACTGGAAATCAAAGGTATGGAGTATCACGCGTATTTTGGCCTGTAGGCTGGTCGTAATGGCAGTGTGAAATTATCCCCAAAGTAGCATAGCGTCTGGCGCAATGACCAGCTGAACCCAGGTTCACGCCTCAGGTCTTCCAGACCTGGAGTTTTGTCGGGGCTCATACTCATAACCTAGGCTGCTGTGGTGTGTCTGCGTCTAACTCAGGACCGGATTGGCTGGATCTCCTGCAGGAAAGGACGCAGTATACGACCCCAGGTCATCGTGTACTACGGGTTTTATAAGTGAGGCTAAAGGGCGAAAGAGAGAGCGTGATAGTACCTAGACATTCGGATAAATTTTGAGGTGGAATATTGCGTCCTCGTGCTAAATTTCTCTAAAGCTACTTGCAAAAGAGCGCACGTATCAGGAACCCGATCCCCGAGGAAGGATGAGGGTATGAAACTATCTGACAGTGCAAATAACAGTTGAGCATTTTTTTCGCAGTTCCGCTTTGTTTTCACAAAAGAAGTAGTGGCATGTGGTTTGGTGGCCCCACCTGATGAACACAATACTGCTGGGGTTAAGGGTTATGTTTAAGGGCTAGGATTTGAGGTTAGGGGTTAGCGCAACTATTTCTCAACCATTCAAAGTACAACCGCGCATTCCTAATAGCTTTTCTTTTACATACAACTACTCTACCTCGTCGCATGTGCGTTCCCCGACCCCACCTGTAAAAACCCCCTATTACCACCGGCCCCGTATTAGAGGTGACTGAGGTTTGTTTTCTTCAGATGGGGCTACATAACTAAATTCAACCGTAGTAGATTACATTCCATCTAACTACGAGAGCGCGGAAGCTTCAGTTATAAAAAATGTGAACAGGCGATATGACACGATGACCTGGTATTTGTTCCCTGAGTGGGGTTGCACGCCGCTTCCTTGTCTTCCTGTATAGCAAACACCTGGAACTATTTGAGATTGAAAATAGTAAAGGTCAATGTAGGGGGGAGACTCGCGTCACAGTAGTGCTAGTATTTGTTATTTCCTTTCTTCAAGACGGGAATAGAGATGGCCAAGCCCCGAGCCACCAGCTATCCTGCCATTTTCCAACGCGCAGGCATTCACCTCATGGAGCCAGGTGGCAGAACACGATTATAAACTTCTGCAGTGGCCCACTACCACTCGGTCGCTTTTTGGATAATAGGGATTCAGTACCGTATGGGCGATCTCTTCCAGTGAAGAGACCTTAATCCGACTTGAATGCAGTCAGCCTGGTTACCTGTCAAGCCGGGCCAGTAGATGTTTGCAGCAATGTTGGTAACCAAGAAACGCTTCCGGTCGGTGACTCAGCAGTCTTGCCATTGTCGCACGGAAAACTCAAACCAAAACGGCCAATTATGTGGCTGTTCAAGTGTTCACATTGTCTCATCCAAACATTATAGTTGCCGCTAATAACGCCCCACCTAAGGCGGGATGGGCTGGCGACCAGCTGTTGAAAAACACCGGAATCGTCATTTCTGGAGTCAGGCAATCAGAGTTTGGAATTCGAACATAAGCCAGGGACGATAATGCAGGCTGTATTTGGTAAAGATTGCGCCTTGTCAGACTTTGTGTACGGAGTTTAAAAAGTGTTCGTACATTCCGCATTTCGATACCTGGGTTCGCTTGCAAACGAGCTATCCAGTTTGCTTATCATTTATCAGCGTATCGCCTGTAACAATCGTCGCTTGAGAAATTGTAAGATCGTATTCGGCTATCTTATGTAGGACTTCAGAAATTTTATGGTACAAGAATACCCCAACCCCGTCTCCCGTTGTTGGCTAGTTTAACGTCACTTCGTCTGATATATTAGCCCATTGGATTCCGTCTCGCAAAAAATACTACAATGGAACCTAGTTAAAGATAATTCACTGACAACATACCTTACTGTTTGGAACTCGTTCTGATCGCCGAGGATGGTTCTGACAGCTTTCATTTACATTAAAATATTTAAAGGTATCTTAACGGATTCTAGTAGCGCATGTTGTGCCTGGGTCCCCAGTGCCTTTTCATTTAGACTTTTATTTGGGCGATTTATTTGGATGACATAGTAACACTTCTCAAGCTGGTCGGAGAGAAGTTTCATGTCTAACTGGCACGTCGGACATCGAGCTTCTTGTTGGAAATGTAGTCATTTCGAAGACATAAGATCTCGAATTCCTCTAAAACAAGGTTTACTCAGGCTTTGCTTGGTGTCCCTGCATCCTCTCCTATGACCGGTCTGTTTCTCCATGGATATTCGCGGTCCATGATTGGTCTCTCCGACGTAGATCACTTCGCATTAGTAGCGCCACATTCGACTGACATCACGTGCTACTTCCTCACTTTTGCTAAGCAACTTTAGAATTGCATGCTGCTACCAAAAGGTAGTAGTTGAGGAAAATTGGTTTTCGAGACGTTCATAACGCGAGATAAACTACGATGTTGGTCATTCAGTTATTCTGAAGCGATGACTTTACGTTCGTTGCGATAAAAATTCGAAAATATTGTGAGTTATAGCAGTTTTGTTCGTCTCAGATCCTTTGGAGAAGGGTTGAACACAGCCGCGTTTCGCAGAGCGGACAATCAATGTGATGACAGAAGACTTGGGATTGACTGAATTCTTACATTCGTCGGCTCCACAATCTCACCCTCTGTTGGATGAGGGCATGAGTGTTCACTGAGCCAAATCCGACACTTTGGTCTTTAGGTTGTAAAATATGTTCTACTTTCACACGGATAACATAAAGGACAATTCCAGAGGTCATCTATTCTAGGCGAGTATCCTTTAATCGCACGCAGGTCGTTAGGCCTAACGTAAAATACACCTGAAACAGAACTTGAGTAGCTGGGAAAGATGGGCAAATAGTCTCAGCATTTTTTATCTCACCGTATTCGCTCTGCAGTTGTTCATTTATGATCTGGCTGTTGGACTCTCTGAGGTTGAAGCGAAGGATAGGGTGTTTTTATGTCCCACGCCAGCAAGACCGTGTGCCGTGGAAAGATACCAAGCGCCTATCGCGTTCAATAAGTCAGCATACACTGATTCGACATAACATTCAAACAGGCCACATGCCGACGCTGTATGCGAAACCAATTATATTTTCATCGCTATGCAGATTTTCTGTCTCCAACAATCTCCTCTGACCGAAAAATAGGCTGTCATCCAATGAGGTAGAATCCTGTCGCCATCCTATTTAGTTATGTTATTATCTGGATTCACGCTAGGACGCCCGTGGTTTTGACGATACCAAATTTAAATTAGTTCGCCGGCTAGTTCACCTTGCCTAGGATGACGACATTACCCTGCTAACGCCCAGCTGGGGTAGAGCACGTTGCTAAATCAGTCCATGGGTTTATTACCGCAGCGGGAAACAAAGGTTCCCAAGATTGCCTCTCTGCACTTGCTACGTCAACATGGCGGAGATATTTCCAACCAATCTAAAACCAATGGCTGATGTTCAGTGGGCATGTTCTTCGTCGTCTGTTCAATGCGTTCGCTGCTCTGTCCTGAATTCGATACCGCCACTTAATTGGAGGCAGTGAAGGAGCTAGTTCAAAGTCTGATCGTCAGGACATGAAGGGGGTCAATGGATCTTCGGCCTTCTACCTATGTCACCGGAGAGGGTTGAGAGTAGAGGTCCCCATCTTTGCAATCGTTGGTCTTCGCATTATCTGAAGCATCACCTGAAAGTCGGAATGCTGCAATCAGTTACTGTCGTTTTCAGGTAACGGCTGTCTAAAACCTCCAGCTCTAATCTGCACAAAAAGCCTAGCATTCACAACTATATCGGAGGACTGACTGGGTTGATGCCGGTACGTCCAACGTCGCTCTTGCTCTGCCTGTTTGACAGCGAAATGACCGGAGACATTTAAAACTGTTCGCTTTTCAGGCCGACAACTGCTAATCAGGCGGTATGTTTTCGCTTGGCGAAAGGACCTGAGCGAGGAAATTTTTGTTTATGATGCATGAACCAACCGACCGGTTTATCGATTTCATTCACACAGGCTGGGCGATACGTCAGGTCGCGCAAGGAAGTCAACAGATTAAACAGTCGTCGGTTGCCGGTAGCCACGGCGAGCTCGCGAATGCACTGCGTGATAAATATCAGTTTGGAGCAAACACCGTCAGTTTGGAATCCGGCATGTCCGGATTTCGACTCTGAGTCGCGCAAACATTCGAAGTCCTTGAGAATGGCGTTGGCAATATCGATGACAATTACGCTGCAACAGTCCTCGCACTTTACCATACCTACCCTCTTAGAGACTGGTACAAAGATGACCGAGTCCTATGCACCAGGAATGACCTCCCCATGATTGTTCGACGACCCCATGGGGGCAAGGAGTCAGCTTTTAGGACAGGACTTGTGGACTTCAGCCCTCATTATGTGCAACGTCAGTACTGTAGCAGTGATTTCTACTCCGTAAATTATTTAGATGATACAGCATAAGGTGGACAAGTAAAAGGAGAGAACGAGGTATTGGTGGGTTGATAAACGGAGTTGAGAGGGAGCTCGAAGTGCTCACTGCGGGGTTCCACCTTGACTGATTTGTCAGCACTGAAGTTACAATTTTAATACCAAGCAAAGTGACTCAGCGTGAGGGACATACCATTGATTTAGCGAATAAGTTGGCTGGATTTTCACATATGGCTGAAAATTGAGGCTCTCTTTATTAACTCGTACTTTTGGCTCAGCAATCATGAGGTTCTTCACAGTCGACTTTGTCGCCGTTTTCCGGAACTGGCGAAACGGATCTTCCTTATGAAATCTAACTTGGGCTGCCTGGAGAGATAACTGTGCAGCCATTCTGCCGATCCAGTTATTGCGGCGTCGCTGTTCAAAGCCTTGGCTGTTGTAGGTCGTCGTAATTTCGCAACACCAAGGTGTCTTGCATAAGATATTCCGGACTCGGAGGATGAGTTAAGCAGGCAGAATCTGACCCACACGCGTAGCCACCTACGAAAGCTTGACCCGTTTATAAGGTATTCATTATGGATGGCGCTACAACCATCGTTAACATACCAGATCAGTAGCTGTTTGTGATGGTGCTGAAAGCGCATGTTGATGACAACTGGCCGGTTCTGTGCAGTAGATTTCAGCATGGTTTTACCACTGTCACATCGAGAATCAATCTGTAAGCGGCAGGTTCGGTGGTTTTTTGCAGACTCGTCTGGCCTATTGTGGCTACTCCAGTCGCTGGTAAAATGAGAAGATCCTGACGAGGAAATTCCGAGAGAGTTCCTGCAGCGGCTGGTAGAAAATTCCCCCATCGCACTGGTTGATAACTGATTTTTGGGCCTAGACGGAAACGACGGATTCTGGCAGAGTGCGTCTTCGGTGGGACATAAACTAGTCGCGCAAACAATGCATGATTCACCTGTTGAGCGAGGACGGCAGCCAACTAGAGGAGTCGAACGAGCTACTGTGATAGATCTTGAAAGAAGGGTTAATTCCGTGGTTTCGATTTGTGGGAGCCTGATCCAGGATTTGGACAAACACCAGTCATCCACTGTGTACTGCTAGAGACTGAATGAAAATAATCCAAAGGGGAGGTTTCATACTCTCACTGCCATAAAACTCGCCAGGCAATGCATGTCATCAAAAATAGTTGCAAGCTTGTGCTGCCTCCCGCATGGAAAGTCACTTTACTAAACACATGTTTTTTATATACATTAGCAACTTGTCTCGATCTACTGCCCGCTAGGACAACAATTAAATAGTTCTGTTAGATAGTATGTATATTGAGCAAAAAAACCTGCTGCATCTTACTGCTCCTTTCGCTAATATATCCCCAGGTTTCTTGCGCAACCTCAGGCAACTCTGCTTCTAACTCTGAGTGGAAAAATCCCCAAACTCGACGTCCGGCGGGACGTTTGCCCCAATTGTCCAAAATCTCCGGGCTCTAAAAACCGACGCTCATGACAATCTAAGCATTTTTTCGAGGTTCAACAGATTTATAGTTAGATATGGTGGTTAAAAAGGATTAATTGGGAAACTCTAGACTGATCCAGCTAGGACAATTATTATTCAGTTTCACGTTGTAAAACAATAAACGTTTAACTTTGAAGGACGATATGGGAGGTATTGTTCTTACCGAAACATTAAATTCTATGAAGGGTTTTCTCTTAAAGTAAAACCCGTTAATACAGAAAATGCATCAGTGATACCGACTCACTGGTAAAATCGGGGGTATGTAAAAGCGTCTGCAAAAGCGTGTTTAGGTAGCATGTTCCACCCTGATTTAACAATCCACTGATTTTTGACCTCGCTTCGGCACGCCATGAATTGATAGCTTCCAAGATGTCTGTATGATTAATATCATGACTCTGGTCTGAAGCGTGGATCTGTGCCATAGATCAGGGTTTAAAATGCATTCCTATGACTTCTGCTTCGAAGAATATCCGGTTGGGTGGAAAAGACAAATTAAGGCCAGGGTACTTGCGGTGTCATCGATCGAACAGCAACTGAAAATCGACCGCTCTGGTTGGCGCGTGGTCGCACACGCACAAACCAATCGGAGTTGGGGCTCGGAAGCTTTTATGTAACCGGACGTTTTTCTGCCTATCTGCACTGACACGCTGGCCCATTTTCAGTAGATGGAAAGCTCCAGAAGTCCTTTTAATTGAATTAGGCTTTTATCTCAAACTTTCCTCCCTCCTTCCAAAAACGAGAGTTGTCGCAAAGTTGAACTGCGCTGCCTAAGATGAGTTTCTCGAGAAATTATTCTCACTTGCGCCGAGGTAACTTTCGCCACAAAAGTGGACCAAATGCAATCATTAGTGGACGCAAAAGGCCAGAGTTTTGATTGGTTTTCCAATCACTGCATGTAGTAGAAGTCCCACGGCACAAATTGTTGAAAGAGCGGCTAACAAACACGAACTGCCAACGGCAGTAGATAGTAGTGTTTCTAATATGGCTTTCTGCCTAAGGTTGCTCAGTATGGAGAAGACTGTGGTCATCACTAAGCCATTTGTGCAATTTTAAGCAGATTATGATAAAATGCCTGCAGGGGTCGAGATCTAACGTAGTCATCAAAATGTTTAGCATAGGCCTAGTGAGAAACAGCAACAAAGCAAGCCCTTTTATAGCAGTCAGGTTTTGCGTGGCAGGTTTTCCGAAATGCTTTTTTTGCATGTCCTCATTTCTGTGACAGATGCAATGGACAACGGATCGATTTTTTCGATACAGTTTTGCCCTTCGAGGTGTCAGCGATTGTGCCGGCGACTGGAGAAGAATACTTTCCATAGGAATACTAATTAATACTGCTCTGAGTGTCATTTATGTAAATTACGGGAAACAAAACGCATGGTGCTTGCGCGATTCGGTCGCCACACAGTTGCACGCATTCAACTATAGTCTTCATCACCAGATCCTGGAACATTATTCGACGATACTGTTTTCAGTCTTACTATCTCCATTTGTTGCCCTATGCAAAGGTGCAGCAATAGTGTTGGTTGTAAGGCTTTTGAGCTAGGGTCTTGCGGCATGACAAATTGGGTAGTGGGCGAGTTACTGCGTCCAACAATAGTTTACGTACCAGAGGAAGGAACCTTCCTTTAATCTCTTGCCGAGTATAATGACATTGATCCAACTAGTATTAAGTATATTATTAACATTCCTCGTTTTCCTCCATTATCACTGTCTTTTATTCACTTTGTACAGTCATGTTTGGCGTGCACAGGGTTCTAAAACTTTCGGTTAATGTGGGAGAAAGATCGTTCAGTCAGTCAGTATATTCGGAGTACATGACAAAAGCACTTAAAATTCCATTTAAACGGTACAGGTGTCCATGAAGAGTAGTCAAGTTGCAAAAATTTGTACATGTCGCTTTAGCGTGCAGAATTCACAAAACTAGTGACAAAATATAAATGTTTAAGAGGTTCAACATTTGTGAAATAGCGGCGTAAAACACGTTCACCGCATTTGCATTGCGAAATTTCATCTGGGTCAAGGTTGATGTACACAAAAGGATCTGTCGAAATCATGTTAGTAGTGTGTTGAAAGTTGTTTCAATAATCCACTACATGAGGCTTGGGGAGCTAGGTTGCCTTTTAATAGGTGACTATACAGATGTTTTTTGAACACACTCATGGTAGGGGAATTTACAACATGCGTCGGTAAAGAATTCCAGTTGCGAATGACTTTTATGAGAAAAAGGAGGGGCGTTGATTGGTGTGGCATGATCCCTTTTTAAGCTGGCAATCGTGCCGTCTGAGATAAGTCTTTGGTGCTATTTCTAAAAGAGTTTCCCAGTTGACATCCAGGTCAAGCTATCTTAACAACTGCAACGTTGCTATGAGGCCACCTCTGTTCTGCCTGTGGTGGAGGAGATAGAGATTGAAGGCGGTCAGGTACTGTTCGTACGTGGAATTTCTGAGTTCATTAAGAGCCTTTGTAGAACGTCGCTGTACACCTTCAATAATATGGATATCCTTCCGAAGCCACAACCGCCAAGCCTATACCGCATATTCTAGATGCGGCCGCACAGATGCCCCATATACTTTGTCAAGGACATCTGAATTCGGCCTTTCAATTCACAGTCAGCCAGTCATAACTTACTTGGGGCACTATCCATTCTTCCTTTGCAGCCGCAGCCCATCACTCCTCCATTAGAGAACATCAATCGTCATCGTCGTTCGCCTGCTTAAATTTTCAGCATGGGAACATCGACTGCAGGTTCCATATCCCTCAGTCCCCATCGTGTAAATCCCGTTCCTCTCAGTCATATCGACGCTTCTTGTTAACCTTTGAAAAAATAATGAATTAATTCCTAATTCTCCGAATAACGAAGAGGGAGACATGACTCCTGGAACAAGAGTTCTATTAGCTTGACGTTTCGGAATCTCTTTCGAATCCATCGTCTAAGTCAGAGTCAGATAGGGGTGGTGGATTGCCCAGGTATTGCAGCACTTATAGGATGTAGTTGCAAGGCCGCTACATGCCCATCCCATATGGCAGCTTCCGAGTGCATCACAGCTCGACTGGCCAGGTGTTGAAGCACGCGGTTGCTATGTCCTTGTGTGTCGCTCAAGACGATCGGCTCTCACGCTCATCGCACACAGTCAAGTTGCTGACTGCCGGACTTCGTCATCCGTGTGGACGCTTGCGCATTTTGGCTCACCGACATTGACACCAGAGACAGTGGTTATCTGCACGCTCTCCTCGAGGCTAACTATTTTGCCTAAGCAAAGTTTCAGCACCCAATATGAAGTGGGGAGGTCATTGCCTTTGTAACTTGATTGACGACCGGAAAATAATTACTCGAGCGGTTCGCGGCTCACGAGGTTGGCACCTCCAGCAAGAATCTCCGCTTTGTCAAACTTGAATGTGTAGTTAGGTCCCGTCGAATTATCCACGACTTGGGAGTTGGCGTCGTTCCTCCTCACTGCTGCTGCATGCTCGGCTATCCGTGTCCGGATCCTCCGACATAGTTGCTTTACCAAAAACTCCGTTAGACCCGGTAAACGACTCCAGATGTTTCTACCCGTGGCGGTGGGTTTTTCGGCCTCATGATCTGGCGCCTAATCGTGGCCTCTGTTCTGTGTGCATCTCCAATTCCAAGGGGTATAAGAAGGCGACTAACGACTCCCGAGATATTCTTCACGTACGAGAGAGCTCGCCAAAATTTAGGGTCAATTGGATTTGGGCCCTTGTCTGGTTTTCGCAGGCACTGATTGAGGAAGTTTCGCGTGTAGCCATTCGCTCTAAGCACCCGTCAAAGGTGTCGCGATTCAGCAACCTTGTCTTCCGGTTCACTAAAGTGTGTCTTCACTCGCTGGTAAAGCGCCCTTACGCAACAGCGTTTGTGACTTATTAGGTGGCTGCTGGTGTAGCTCAGTACTTGCGTCGTGTTTGTCGCTTTCCTGAATACTTTGGCTTTTGGGCCACGCAATCTTTCCGCCAGACGAGGGCATCAAGAAAGGCCAGCTGGTTGTTTTCCTCTCCCTCCATCGTAAATTGGATGTCCGGGAAGATGGCGTTGAGATGTTCTTTAAACTCGTTCACCCGATCCCGTTCGATGAAGACGAAGGTATCATCCACATAGCGAGCCCAGAATTTCGGTCTGTGCTATCTGTAAACTAGCAACTCCAGCCGTTGTAGGACCGCCTCGGCTATGAGTCCCGAAATCAACGAACCCATTGGCGTGTCCTTCACCTGCTAGTAAATTGTTCCGTCGAACGTAAAGAGCGTCCTCAGACAGAACTGCAGGGGTTGGAGGATTTGGACGTGTCCAAGGCGATTCTCCGTTTCATTGTATGTGTCTCGTAGGAGCAGTTCGATGGTCACGACTGCCAAGTCCTGCGACATAGAAGTAAAAATGGACGTGACATCAAAGTATACCATGACGTCGCTTGGCAGGAGGCATACCCCTTTGAGCTACTCCAAGAATTGTGCTGACGAACTGACTCTAGTTTCTGACTTTGCGATCAGAAATATGAGACTCCGAAACAGCCATTTTTCCTGTCCGTATGTTGGAGTACCTTTGAGTGAAACGATGGGCCGGAGGGAGACACCCTCATTTTGCACCTTGGGAAGGCCATAGAAACGGGCCAAGGGCGTGTTCTGGGCTCTCGCCATGCGTCGGTCAGCCGGTGGTATCGCACCTGAGTTTTTCAGTACCAACAGCGTCGCACTGATTTCTCGAGTCAATGTGTTTACCGGGTTGTTTGCGCAAGGGGCATAGGACAAGCGGTTCTCCCGTAGACGTTTGGACTTCTGTCCTGTCCAAGACAACCGTGGAACGTCCCGAAGAGCTTTCTTCTTACAGTCAGGAGAGCACCTACAAAGGTGAGGAAGACTGGGGTAACCGTTCCTGGCTTATTAGCCGTCCTGAGCCAGCCCTATCCAGTACCAGGTCTGGATGACCTGGGTTTCGCGTGTTAGGTAGTCCAGTGCTCTACTATTGAACCTCGGTATCGTTGTCCTGCCGGTTGTGATCGGGACTATTAGCTACACCGATTAGGTTACAGGCTCAAATTAGTGCTGTTGCATGCAGTCGCATAACGACTAGTAATATATCTTATTCCCTCAGAATGCCTGCTATAACATAGTTACGAGGATAAGATCGGGTTTTTTCTGGGTCGATTTCTGTGCAATATTAACCGACAAACTGCTGGACTGTTTATCGCTTATTACTCTCGCTTATAATCTGCAGAAAAGATCTCAGACCAAGTATGTACACAGCACGTTGAGAAGAACATAGACGGGTCTTCTCAGGCGAATTCACTTCATGCCGGCACTGGGGAGATGGGGTGAAAATGCAGCCTTTGATTTGGCGAACAAAACCAGCAGAGATCATGGATTTTTACGTCTGAAAAAGGCATAGGTGTCTAGTCAGCGCTAAGTATGCAGTTATTTATTGTCTACTATCTGTCACAGTTGCTCCCGCCTCGTGGAGCAGTGCTGGACCCCGTCACTCGTGACGGTTGAACTAAAGATACAGAAAAATATGATTTGGCGTTGTTGCGTGCAACCTAATCTGTCCGTTTTTGGAATCTTAAAATGACATAGAAAGGGTAAGTTGCAGTGCCCTATGAAAATCTTATTAAAGGGCTCTAAAGAAAGAAGAAACATATAATGACTCTATAGAAGGTTTTAAAATGCGCAAAGGAGAAAGATATTGAGATTGGTTGTCTAAGTAAAACGACTTCAAACTTGGACAAACTAACAACGCAAATTCGGGGGGCTGTCTGTCAAAGCATTCAGTTCAAAAATTTGTCTGGCTATCTTATGAAGTATTTTTATCAGTGGAATAAACCACCAAACATAGAACGAGTGATGTGCGTCGAGAAGAATGGGGTGGACTTTTTGAGTACGTTTATGGATGGCCATCTGAATTACCTAACAGAAGGATGAGCAATTCCTTTTGGTAATGTAAAATCTAGTATTCGGACAAAATAACGCAGCATATATAACATGACGCAACTGAGAGTTATAAAAAACTGGTAGTTTGCAGGCATGGCTGTGTAGGAACATCACACACACTCATAGTATTGGATGAGCCCCTAAGGCTTCCTCCTCTACCAATAATGCTATTGCGATCAAAACGTTTGGCTTATTTTTCTTAGGCTAATTAGACATTGGACTTACAGTGACTTTAACGGTACACGCGTTGTATAGTACGAAAAATGAAGCCGCGTTCCACAAACAGGAAATTAATTTTTGCACACCAAGATATCAGTTCACAGTTGAACACCCTGTAGTAATCCATTCTTTTTAGTGACCCTATGGAAGGCAAAACAACCGGTCAGACGGATTACTTTGGGCTGCATCGAGTAATTCAATTAATAAAAACTCTGCCCCAGGTTCAGTCTGACTTGGTAACCGCTGGACTGCCCAAAAGGACTCCGTTAACTGGTGATCAAGGCCATAAATTATAACACTTAAACGAAACTTGGCGGTATCCTACTACTCATGCCTGTCTACGATCCTTAAGGGGCTTTACTCGTAACTAAGTGCGTGTGTTGAAGGTAAAGTCAAGTGAAAATAAGTACTCCATGCGTGGCCAACTGACCAGACATCACGTGATGGGACCACGTGGCCCCGACACGCCTAAGTCGATATCTAGATTCAATTGGGCATGCACTACTGTCGGCAGCGAAGCGCTTCAAGATGCCGCCAAAATCACTCAAAATACTAAAGAAGCTTGAAAAACTGACAAAGAAAGATGGGAAGGTATTCGACAAGGAGATGGCGAGCTATATGGAACGTATCGCTGACTTTCAGCACTTCGTTGACCGAATCGACGACTGGTACAACAAAAATGAAAAGAGGTATCTGAAGTTCATGTCGCTCTATGGGGAGGACATAATTTCCGAGACAGAATTTAAACTGGCTTTTCGAAATTTGCGAACTCCTTTCTCTGAGCTGGAGCAGCATATAATTTGTAGAATGATAGATCCCGCTGCCACAGGTCGAATAGAATACTCTAAATTGTATGAAGGCATCTGGAAGGCCTTGGCCAATAAATATGTGGCTGACGATGATCCAAACATAATGGATTTGGATCGGCCGGATAAATGGTTCCTCGCCACCTTCAAGATTCCTACATTCGAGCCCCTTGACATGCAAACTACTTTCGAGGCCCTCGTCAGCCAGGATTACACTGGGTATATGCTGAGGGAGCTCATTCGTACCAAGGTTCCCCAGTTGCCGACAAAAGCCATTGTCGTCTTCACAGAGGCCAGCAAATATGCTGAAACGGTGATAAAATGCAATCAGAGACTGGCGGAATTTAATTTCACTGGTGGCCCCAAGTGTGCGCCAACGGAGATTAACCTTTATTTTGACTACACCATGGGCCGAGTTGACTGTCCAATGGTCAGCACAGTGGAGTACTTTGGCAGAACGGAGATTCCGAAAACGCAATCAAAACCTGAACACAATTGAGAAACGACGCCAATTTTCCTTTATTTTTTATTTGATGAAGTTTAGAGTTCACGATGACTTCGTTACTGATAATAGTCACCGCGTGACTTTTATCGCCCTCAGGGGGTCTCCACAAACGTTTCATTGGCCTACCACGTAGTGCGTAATTCACGCTTTAAGCTGGAGAGCCATTACTACATCTTCATCTATGAGCAATAAATGCTAACATTGTAGGTTAGAATTTCTTTTGAGGATGACAACCTATCCAAACGCCTCCGTCATTCACGACAAAAAATATCCTCTATCGAAACCTGCAATAATATGTTTCAGTCGCACTTTAATGCACTCGCAAGTTTATGTCCTTGTCTCTCAAGCGACGAACATACACCTCAGAGTAACTTCTATTACTTGAATAAACTTGCGCATGAAAAAACACGCTTTCAACAGAAAATTAGTGTCTAGTGCACCTTAACAGCTAGGTATAGAGATCTGGACATACATTGGCACTTGAATTACGCAGTCTTCTAATTTTCAGGATTCCAGACAATTACGTTTTCGGTTATCGTGCCCTTATAAACAGCATGTAGCAAGGATAGTCTTCTCATATTCCATCCCAGCGTCAGTCTACAAAATTACATCCCGATAGTAGATTTACGGAAGAAAAACAAAGATCTGGTATGTCATACTTCATGATGACAGAAGAGGCTGGAAGTGGTGGAACAGCTGGCTGCGAGCCGTACAGAATGGAAATAACCTTCTGTTAAAGGATCGTATTGATATTTTAGTGGGACTCGTTCTTACTGAGTTAAAAAAACGAAGAAAGTGTGTGCTCACTACGTGCGATGTGTGTTGATTTACGGAATGAGATGAGGGGTAAGCAGATGTTTGCATGGGACTCCACTACAAGGAATCTAACATCCGAAATAGTCAGACTGCAATTTATAATTAAGAGTTACAAAAAAGTGCTCCACTTTCGGACGTGAGCCAACATGGCAGCCAAAAGATCAGAGGGAAGTTAACTACTGAAACAAGCGACACAATACCCTGTTCGAGTAGCACCACGAGGCCTTTTGGACGATGTAGCCTACGTAGAGGCGTATGTGCTGACGGTTTCGACAACACCGAGCCGTACTTTTGTGGCGTCTCAAGCGCGCCCAAGCCTCCCGCGTCTGAACCGCACACCATACAGGAATCGTATAGTCAGCCTTCGAGCGGATGAAATATTTACGCATTCAGCGACAAGGACAGTCAATCCGGGGCGTCCAACTTTTTAAATCACCCAATCAACCTGCCGGGCGGACAATGACTGGCCGTCATGTGGTGCTTAGTCATTCACGGCCACACGGAGGGAATCGTTCGTGCACGCAGGTCCACAGCCGGCTGTCTATTGGTGGTATTGACTACTATCACCACCTTATGCACAGAATACATGCCTACTTGTATCTTTCTGCTTCCCCAAAACACGACTGAGAGGTGTTTATGGTACACGCACTATTCTATTCGCTACAGCTTTCCCATCAAAGGTTATAATCCCGAACTCGGGATCCACTCATCAACATAGTTTTGTTGATCCCTCTGCCACCTAACAATAATTCGGATTCTTGTCCATTGCCCTTGAAGAAAGTGGATAATTACACAGCTATAAATTTATAACTTTTTAAGATACTGAAAACGCTTATAGACAGTTATTTAGCACACAAGTTCAACCAGTTCTTCGGAGTTCGCGGACTGTGAAGAAGAAGAAAACACTTTTGAAAGGGTTCACAGAATGAGAAACGCCCCTGTCAGATATACACGTAGTAAACTTGAGTAATAAGCGACGCTTGTTGGGTTGCTAATTTTCCATAGAAGATTTCGGAGTTACCCCCGAAACTCTATTTGTGTCAGTGTACTCGTGTTGTGTGGCTTTGCTTAGTTTGTACCGGTTGTAGACTATCCATTTTTCCCTTCAAAGTGTCAGATACAGCATTTCAAATCGATATTTCTATTTTGGTCTGATTCAAACGAATGCATTGCCTCTGGAGACAGCTGCCAACAACGCAAATTTCGTCATAGATGAATTTATGCCAATGATCATTGATTAATTCAGCATCCTGGGCGCATACAATAGTAATGGCTTCGATTGGTGGGTTAAACCATATGAAGATAACCTGTTTATCTTTACCACCCAGTAGAACTGTGTGTAGTCTGCTTCGATTAGTGGAGCGAAACCAACTGTCTCGAGACAACGTGGGCAGGGCTTTATTCCGAGTCAGTCGCTGCACCTTATGTAGTCGTTAGTCATCTTGACGCAGTCTCCGTGCTGGATTATGATAGGATGAGGGAGAGCAAAATTCCAGATCCTGGGGAATTATTTCTCGCTATTATACAATTCATGTCAGTGTTAATTTTACCAATTAAGCCATTCGTTCTGTCGGCCTGAATGATCTGTTAGCTGTTAGCAGAATGAACGTGCAACCCATTAGAAAGGAAAACAATTCCGACTTCTCGACCAACGCCATCAAAGATAAAAATCTTCACCCTCAAGGAGACTATTCCATATAAATTAAGGCTGCTCAACAAAATAAAAAAGAATATAGTTTCTTCTAGCGTGGGTTTTCTAAATGAGAATCGCGAGTTGTTGATGTTGTATTCACCATCGGAAGCGAAATCGCCGGGAAGCTGCTTTGCATTAAATCAGGGCCCCTCTCGGCCTGGTGATGCCTCCTTTCAATAGGGCAAAGTTCGCATTCATCAACGCTGTAACAGCCCACACATGATTGTTCTTAACGCCCTGAGAGACACGTTCGAGAGGGATTTGCCCCTCTTTCTCATATCATTGCCAAGGGCGACCAACCCCACTACTCTTAGAGACTTCAGTGCATGAGTAGACATAGACCACACCACTTAGGAGAACTGTGTTAGCCCCCAGGGACTAGACAGCTAAAGAAATAACAGACTCTCGCTGCTAAAAACCAGCTAAGAATGTCACCAGCTTCGTATGGTGTTTTCCTAATCCACTGAAAACAACGTAGATGCACGCGTCACTGGCAATAGGTAGACCACGAACTCCTTAGGAGCGAGAACGCAGAGGCGCGTCAGGGACAACATCGACGTGCAGTATCGAATTCTGAACCGAATACCGCCCACTCATCCCGAAGATGAGGCCTTATATCTAGTCACGAAGAGGGCCTAAGAGGAAGAAATTGAGCACAGCAACACCAAACCTGGCGGGCACTGGTCGAATCTAACCAAATTAGCAAACGCCCATTTCAAGGAACTTTAGACTCTCGAGCGCGGAACCGTCGATAAACTACGGCAGCCGATTTACAACACTCGTAGACATTTATAGGTTAACATGTCAAATAAATCCAAATTAGTTCGATGGCAACGACAAAGAAATCCACCTTCCGCGCTTTGAGAAGCACTAGCTTCACAATGCACGGGTAAACGAAGCATAAACGCACACAGAGATCCTATCTCCAGATGCCGAAGCCAATTGCACTGAAGGGGGAATAAATATGCGGAATCACTCGTTAATTCATAAGTCGGACGAATTTTAAGGATGAATTGACCTGCTAGAAAACTGTCCGTCGCTGTCGAATAGACCTACGGTTGTTAACTTTCTAGAACTGTGCAACTGTTCATTTGGAATGGAACAACCTTGCCGTCAGAGGACTGACCAGTTCTGGAGCATCTGGTCAAGAATCTTATTTGTGTCTTCAACTTTTGTTGATAGGACAGTGTGGAAGATGCCCAGTGAAAAGTTCCAGACGTCGAATTCGTCATAACCGCAGTCCACAGATACCGAGGCTTTAAATCTTTGAGCAAATTGACCTTAATGTTTTGGGTAGGTACGCACATACTGCTGACAAACTGCGTCCGTATTCTCTTTAATCACCTGACTCTTCATCTGGAACGTGGACTTCTTCTAGATATTTCATGTAGGATCTGGGCGCATTGTGGATCAACATGCAGGATCTTGTAAAACAAGATATGCGAATAATTGCTGGGAAATAAAAATAACCATCTGCTATCAGTCTGCTGATCCCCGCAAGACCTTCGACACCGGGAAGTGAGACAGATTCGGAAAATCGCAACCTTCAAGACTAAACGCTTATGTAACGTGGTAGTATCTTCATGCACAAAAAAGAAATGGGAGATGACATCCCAACCTGGACTTCCTCATCCCAAAAAAATAGCTCACACTAACAGCACTGGACACCCTTTTTACAATTTTAATCTACACGACAATTTGTTACATGCATTTAGAGGTCCAGCGAGAATTTATCCAAAACCTACATTCACCAAATCATCTTCTGAATTAGTTATCTGAAGTTTTTCCTGACTAGAACAAAAGATCTCGGAAGTATTCAATGGCTGCCAACGAATAGATGATAAGCTTGAAGATTTCCGCAAGCAGTCGTACCGCCACACCCCCTGATCCACAACAACTAATTGACCAAGATTTTAACCAACAAAAATGGGTCAGGGACAGTGGTTGTGAAATACTCAGTTGTTTGTTTGGCGTTTCAAACCAACCATACTGCTCAGCTCTGCAGGCCGCCGGGACAGTGGAAGGATGCGAATGATGCACTAAAGCTAAAAGCAATTTACGATAGCAAACACCTAATGCACTGTTCGCGACCGATAAATTCCTTCGACCAGAAGTATCTTCAGCTGGTAAATAATGAGTTTTTCATCCAGCACCTAAAATGGACACGCGATTCCGCGACGGAAGCAGTCAGGCTGTTTGGACCTTACCAATACTAGCGATGATATTTGCACTCTTGGATTGGGTTCTCACACGTCCCTTGGCCGAAGTGACCACTGCGTTCTTCTTTGGGATTACAGTACTTTTTCTGCATCCAGAATTTGAGCAATGGGGGAAGGAAATTATAGAAAAGGAGATTATCCCCGTAAGGAAGATCTACTGAGAGATATGACCTGGAACGCTGCACAAGCACGTGGCTTAAACGCCGACTGACACTCCTTCAAGGACGTAACGCAGGTCTTGGTAATGAATGGTTGCCCACTTAGGA